ACAGACGAATTGTTACAAAAATTAAAGAAACTTTTCCACATTCCCATGGGAATGTTTTTAAGGCAAACTGTCCGTGTAGTTGGTTTATGGGGTTCTGCCAGCTGTTTACTTTCACTGTGGAATATGCACTGATCATTGGCAAAAGCAGCAGCTCATTGAAGTCCTCATGTTTATTGACATCTGGTGGTGTTATGTCTTATTTTATTAATATTGTCCATGAATATTGTAAAAAGTAAAGGTGAAAGACAACACCCTTGCCTTATCCTAATGTTACTGGGAACCGGACTGTGAGGCCAGCTCTTGTTCTGATCGCACTTTAACTTGCTCTATCAATAGCTCTTACACAATCTAGCACTGTTTCCATTTATACCATAGTTTTCAAGGACTCCAATGTTCACTCTGTCAAAGCCCTTTCTTGATCTATGTTATTCACAATCTATCATCACTGCACATTGGGCATTCCCCATGTGTGCTCAGTTTCTCCGATTGCAGCAGCCACTTCCAAGTACTTCCTACGAATTTTTGCCATGAGAAGCTGGTTATGTTGTCTCCTATCTCGGCCTCGAAGATGGCATAGACGTGCTTCACACATGCTTCACTCCCATGTCACGCAGTCGTGTTTAGTGTCAGGGGATTCCTCATTATCCATTAGGCCCAGTCCACACAGATTGACGATCATCTGCTCTGTGCCATGTTTCTTCCCACATGCCTTAGTGCATTGCTTGCCAGTTGGTCCGCGTCGCTCTCTATTTCCCTTTACGCCTGCATTAACCAGGTGTGGTAGATACCCATAGCTAAAGCTCTAGAAGCAGCTGGTATTTCCCTGGTCATGCTTGATGTGGTTTGGCTGGTAAGCGCCCACTGTCCTCGCTGTATTGTTTTCCACATTCTTTGTGCGCTGTGTATGCCCATGCTGACTGTATTGAACTTGCCCTTTTGTGGTCTCCTCTACAAAAAATGGGGGCCTTAAATCTATGGTGTCAGAGTTAACACTGGCTCTCGATATCTAGAGGGTTACAACTCAATCAAGCAGACATGATCCTCTTCATGTCACACAACGTTCTAACAACGGTTAACACCAGCGGCACATTTCACGAGTTTATTTACATCGTTAGCCTCAATACACAAATCACAGGTGAATCCACTTACAGCATTCGGACAATAGACGTTGACATATTCACAGCTGGCTTTGACCAATCAAACAGGTACCTATTCACAGCTGGCCTTCTCGATCATTCATTTCCTCGCCGATTCAAATCCACATGCTCTAGTCATTCTCACATTCATCTTCACAGCTTCATTTTCCATCCTTTCTCTCTGGGGCCCAGTCAACCGAATGCCCGCCTGATTCTCAATCCCCCAGATCTCCTTATTCACACTTGACACTCTTTCCTGTCGTTTCACCATATCTCCGTGAAACACATGCTCTCAGGACTTCCCCAGTTATGCCAATCATCCCCATGACATTATCCCTATTTATAACATCATTACATCTCTCCTCCCCTTAAACAAAAAAAAAAATATGCAATATTTTTTTTTTTCCATAAACCTATATAAAATTTCCATATAAGAATATATTGCCTTATTTTTACTAATGTTTACTGTTGGCTGGAATTCTACCATTGGTTCTCTGACTTGTACCACATATGCAGCATCTCTTGTCACTCCCCTTGACAGTTCTTGGCAATATGCTAACAGAATCACCTCCCAAAGCGTTCCTCAAACAACGCGGATGACCTTATAGGCTCTGTGACCGTACTTATCAAGTCCTGAAGTCAGTCTACCTAAAGAAAGACTGAACAACACCCCAAAGCGTTCCTCAACAACGCGGACGTCCAAAAATGGCTCCAAAAACTAGACTTATAAATCACAACAGTTTCTGTATGTCCCCCATAGAACCAAGTTCCTCTGTAATTGCCTGTTAATAAAATTTCTATTATAACCTAATGTGTCTATTGGTTTTTTATAAACTCATACACCATCTTTCAGTTTTATTTTTAAATTCATACACCATTCCTCATTATCACTTTCACATCATAACTTTCATATCATCACTTCATACAAAATTTATTTTATTTGAATATTAATTGTTAGTAACAACACGTTTATTGAACATTTGTTAGTAATGTTAGACTGTTACCTATAATTATCTCCCTTTTTTATTTAACTCCCTTTGTGACTATTTCTGCTTACTATCTTTATAACCTAGACATAATATCTGGAATGTGGTTGTCAACCCCTTTTACATGCATAATGTCAAATTTAAACTGTTGCAGTAACAATGCCCAGCGGTAAACTCTAGCGTTTTTATTAGCATCTATGTTCTGCAGTTTTACCAATGCAAGATTATCTGTGATGATTGTAAATTCTTTGCCGATTAGGAATTTTTGAAATTTTTTCAAACTGATCACTACAGCTAATGCCTCTCGCTCGAACGCACTATATTTCTGTTGCGCTTGGGTGAGTTTTTGTGACATATAATATACAGGTAATAAAACATTAGAATGTAACTGAGCTAGCATTGAACTTATGGTATGCAAACTCGCATCAGACTGTAAATAAAATCTTTTTGATATGTCTGGCTGTCTGAAAGATCAATACTGAAAAAACAGAAGTCATGAGAATTAGTAGAGAGCAGCAAACAATCGACATAAAGATTAAAGATCAAAGTCTGAAACAAGTGCAAGAATTTAAGTACTTGGAAAGCATCATTGCACACAATGGCAAAATTTACAGAAAGATAGAAACAAGAATCCAAAAAGCCAACGATGTCACCTACCAACTTGCTCCAATTTTAAAACACCCTGCTATCCCAACAGAGACAAAAAGACAAATTATAAATACAATATTTACACCAACTTTAGGTTGCCAATGTCAGACTTGGACATTCGGAAAAGAACATGAAAGAAAATTAACCTCCTGTGAGATGAGATGTTTGAGAATGGCTGTGAATAAAACCAGAAGAGATCGAGTCAGAAATGAAATGATCACAAGAATTGTTGCAACAACACCCATCGTCAAATTTATTGAGAAACACAAAATGAAATAGTTTGGCCATCCAATGAGAATGAAACCAACAATGCCAGCGTACAACCTGAAAATCGAAACATCAAGAGGCAGGGGAAGACTGAGAAGAAGATAGGTTGGAGTCACTGACACCATGAGACTGAGTGGGCACTGGCTCGGCTGCCGATCGTCTGATGAACTGCGACGCCTAGCCACATTAGCAGATATTGACAAAAGAAAAAGAAAATGTAAAGGATAGTCAAGATGGCAGCTTTCCTCAGACACCTCATGTCAAAATTTGTATTTTAGACTAACTATAGTAAAGAATATTAAAATATTTTTAGAACAGAAAACCCAGAACCTGTGGAACGATTATTGGAAAGTGAGATAAAGGAAGAAGACGAGAAAATATTATTACCATGGTACGGAAAAGCATCAGCGCACAAACTGATACAAGCAAGGCACCTAATGTTGTTGAATAAAACAGAACAGGGTGTATTAAAACAAGACAAAAGGTGTCTACAATAATGAAAAAAAAAAGTATATACAAAACTGACATAAAGGGATATTTTTGCAACATGACAATAAGGTACATTGAAACATAACAATAAGGCAAAACACAAAATTTTCTTTTATAATATGAACACCTTACCCACTGCTTGGATCTACAGTCAAAGCTCTTGGTTCATCAAGATCTTCATGCAAAAGGGTTTTGCGACAAGATCCATCAAATCGTGTCACTTGAATTTTGTCTAAGTCTGCATCTGACAAGTACAAATTTTGATGAACCCAGTCAACAGCAAGACCGCCTGGCATTCGAATGTCATCTTCAATGATCACTTTCCTGTAGCCAGATGTCATGTTAGCCCTATTGAAAAGTTATATTAACATTGTCAACAGCTTTACTTTGACAAAAAGCAAACTAAAACACTCTAATCAACTATTATAAAACTGTTATCTAACTTGTATAAATTTGTTTGGTTTGTTAAAGCAGATATTCAGTAAAATATTTTAAACTTTTATTTTAACAAAATAGATAAATGACTCACGAATAAATTTTTTCAGATTCCACATCGGTCCAGAAGATCAAATCATTTCGAATGTCAAAATCTATGGCAACAGCATTCGTTTCATTCTCCAACAAAAGTGAATAATGATATGTATCTAACTGGTACCGTCTAATTTCATGATGGCTGGAGAGAATAAGTGCAGCATGACTACCTGCAACAGAAGACAATAAACATTAATGTTTCTCTCACTTGATTTACTGAAGAATAATTTTTCTAAAATGAATATATTTGTAGAGTATAAAAGTATACAATGAAGTTTTCAATTATTTTACATGTGAATGAAAATTTGTAAAACCTAATAAGGTGTAGACTGAGATGTATGTATATACGGATATACCTACGTAATTTTTTTTCTGGTGATTAGCAAAGGTATGCAGTACTAGTAATTTTGTCAAGTTGCATAATTTTATAATTTTTTTAAAATTTATGGCCACTCAGTTTAAATCCACTGTTCATGAACTTGCCAACCTCAAATGTATTAGTTTAGCATGTATCACTCACGAACTGCCAACAGGTTGAACGTGGTCATGTTTTTTTTTTTTCCTTCTAGAATAGAACTAGAATTAGATCACTCATGAATTTTAGGGAATTTCAGTAATAGGCAGTTCTAAAAATTCAGTATCTGAAAACTGGAAGAATTTGAGGTACCTGAGGGGTTGCATCCAGCTTTTACAGTTTTTGCTGCCTAGCAAGATTATAAAGTCCTGTTCTGCCACCTTCAGGAAGCAAAACAAAGACACCAGAAGAAGCAAATTGACCATTATTTTTCTAAGGGTCTTTTTAAGAGGTAAAAGTATTCATGTAATTTTATTCTAGGTTTGGGCTTTATGTTATGAGTTATGAGTTAGATTATCTTCACAGCACTCCGGACACATCCATATCACTCAGATTCATATCTCAACATATTCACCAGCGTCGTGTGGTTAATAGTACCAGTCCTATGTTGGTTAACAAGACTTCGTGTGCATTCAGTGTGCTTCTCATGCTTGACTGTGCCGATCTTTACTCTCAATTCGCGTATTCTTAGAAGTGATGTGGACACTTTGCTTCCAAAATCCTCAGAACGTCCTATCTCTCTAAGGGCAATGACAATGTCTGCTTGATCCATGGGCCGGCCATCTTCAATTAATGCAGTGCCTGCCAGTCTATCAGCTCTCTCATTACCAATAACGCCTGTATGTCCTGGGACGAATCTGAAAGTAACTGCACACACAGGAGAATTTTGCAACGACTCAAGCCAGTCTGCGTAACCAGCCTGCACTGACCCACCGGATCATACTCAAAGAATCACTCAGCACACACACGCGGGAATAGTCCTATGATCCCAGCCACATAAAAGCCTGTGTCACCGCCATCACCTCCATCGTCATGCTTCTGGTGGTCATGGAGAAGGCACCGCTGGCTTCCTTAACTGTTCTGCCTGTAGAGCGAGCTGTAAATGCCCATGCACTCTTATGTCCTCGTATAACGGACCCGCCTGTGAAGATCACCACATCTGTCTCATCTGACTTGTCACTGATAAGCGCGCATACCTCGGCACTGAGAGCAGCTGGATTCTGCTCCCCACAACTCCCACAGAGCGTCACGACACAGGAGAATGTGAGATTGTGTGCTTTAGACTCTGGTATCCACTCCTCACCTGGATGGATGTCTGTAAGGCTGCAAACCTGCATGATGTCATCCTCTGCCCTACCCAGCCATGATTTGCCCCTTTTAAGCCTATTGCCCCTTTTCTTGAAGAGCATGTGGTGCAAAGGGTGCTTCAGATCTGAGCTTATTTTGAGGTATGCACGTGCCCTCCAGATCTTGATCCTGTAGTTCATGGTAGGGAAGTCAAGAAGGTACCTTATTGCTACACAAGAGGTGTCTCCAGTGCACCCTATAATAATGCGCATTGCTTCATTTTGCACCTTCTCAAGTCTTTCAATCAAGTATGGCTGACAGTGAGGATGGCAAGAGCATATTCAATGTGAGAAACTACAAGTCCCCGGAACAGAAGCAGTCTCTGCTCAGTGTTAGCGGCAGCCAGGACACTCATTGCTGACAGGCCTATATGTGTAAGGCTCTGCAACAACTGAGTGATTTAAGTCTGGATTTACAGGAGTGAAAAATGATTTATATAAAGCAGCCAGGAAAATAAAGAATACTGTTTACATGTTTAAAGAACAAGTGTTTATTCTTTCCCTCTTTAGTTATAAACATGTATTCTTATCTTGATTCATAACAGTCCCCTTTCCACTGTCTCCGAACCAAATATTCTGGTTGTTTCTTCAGTAGCACAATTTTTTTTATATTTTTATAAATTACTTCTCTTAGAATTTTCTCTAGGGTCAAGTTGATAAAAACCATGGACAAAGCATCCTTTCAACTAAGTATATACTATTTGACTATATTTATGCTCAGTCATATGTTTTGTGATTTTCATTTTGAACTGTTTGCCAAAGAAGTGGTCCAAAAACATAACTATTTTGTTGCAGCATCTCTTTCATGGGACTGCTTTAATATTTTTGAGACAGTTTAATAAATGTAAGCCGAATGGTCACCAAAACTTAGCTCTGAGCACATACTTTAAATATGAAAGAATGCTGTAGGCAATTATGTCCATGAATAGACACTGTGCTGCTAAAGAAATAGCAAATGACATCCAGTCATCATTACATCAACTTATCAATATTACATTTTAATCAACAACAATGTAAGATTTAGAGAAAACACTGAATATGGGTGTCTCTCTTAGCTGAGTTTTAAAATAAAACATTTAACATCAATGATTAAGTCAAATAAATCCTTACAGTTCCATGCTGAGGTGTGGATGTAAACAAACACATTATTTAAGTCTTTCTGTCTCAAGGAATACAGTATATGTTCTTAAATAACTATGCTAGAGTTCCATGCTGAGGTGTGGATGTAAACAAACACATTATTTAAGTCTTTCTGTCTCAAGGAATACAGTATATGTTCTTAAATAACTATGCTAGAGTTCCAATTAGCACATGCAGATTTTCAATTGGTCGGAGGCGTCAGTCTTTGTTTTCCCTCCGATGAAGCAGTTGATGGCAACACTGATGGACATTTCTACAACAGCTTGAGCTGCCCGCGAACTATCAACCAACAGACACCGGCATTCTCTGTCCCCACCTAGGTGGTGACATTGTCAAGGGTGTATTCAGTAAACAGATATGCCATACACTATAGAGGGGATGTACAAGCACATCTCCTAATGGTTGTCAGATTATTTAGCTACGACTTCCAGAATAAGTCAAAGGAGGGAGTGAAGCATGTGGTGCTTGACTTGAGCCAGTGGAACCACAGTGGACGAGAGGTTCAAGGTGGAAATTTGTGGCCTAAGTTGGAACCTCATAAATATATTTGCCAAGGTAGACTGTTTTGTCAGAAGTGAAAAATGGAGCTGGCTCAAGAAATTGGAGGAGTTACCAGGTGATAGGTTACTCATATGTGGGGATTTCAACGCGAGGAACAGAGAATGGGACAGCAGTGGAGAAAACCGACAGGGAATTGCCCTTGCAGAGGCCATGGTTGACTCTGATCTGGTTTGCATCAATGATGGGAGGCCGACTAGAATGGCAATGACCTTCCAGTATAAGTGGACCAACAACCTACTTGGACGCCTCAGATGGGGAGCATGCAAAAGAACTGCTAGAACTAATTTTCGACAGCCCCCATGGTGGACTCCAGAAGTAGAACAGGCGTGGAAGGCAAAGAGAGCCGCAGTGAAGCAGCTAAAGAAAGTATGACAGACACCTTCAAGCTCACGAGAGGAAGTGGAGATGGCGGAGAATGTGAAAAAAGATAAGGTGGAGGTTTTCAAGCGCTGTCCTGCAGAGGAAAAAAGAGCAAAGTGGGAAACTTTTATGAATGATATGGGAGCCGATAAAACATTAGGGAAATTCTGGAAACTGCAAAGGCAGCTGCAAAGAAAAGATCGGCCTATGACAGTCAGAACAATTTGTAGAGACGATGGTGTGCGTGTGACAACAGACAAAGAGAAAGGGGAGACTTTTCTCATAGGTTTATAGCTCAGACAGATCATAATGATGTAGACATCAGGGATGCAGTTAGAAAGGAGCTAGCTGGCACCTTGAAGAATATGCATTAGATAGATGGTAGAGAAGTCAACAGAGAGAGCAAACTGAAGTATCTAGGAATTACATTTGACAGGAGTCTGTCATTTAAGGACCATGTGGAGAGTGTTGTGACGAGATGCCAAAAAGGACTTAGTGCACTTAAGACTATGGCTGCAATTGACATAGAGCAGAGAATGCTTTTCACACTATATCAGCACCTGATCCTGTCAGTGGTGGATTATGGCCTGGGACTGCTGACCGTCTCAAAAAGTCAGATGGACAAACTAGAGCGCATACAGAATGTGGCTATGAGGGTCATTCTTAGTTGTACCAGAGACACCCCAGTGGTGTGTATGCGATACATCCTTGGCTTGCCGACGGTTGCAGGTAGGCACAAGGTGCTGCAGGCGAAGTCATATCTCAGGGTAGCTGCAGACACAGACCACCCTCTGCATGAAGCTCTGGGTGCAGTTAAGGGTCAGCGGCTAATAAGAGGGAGGTCATGGATGGCTCAGGCAGAAGACACAATCAAACAGGTTTGCATCCTTGAGAACATTAGGCGAGGAGAAGAGTGGGTCAAAGTGCCACCTGAGCAGTCAGACCTGTGTAGAGTCATAATTACGCTGAGCCGGGAATGCAGACTGGTCAGCAGGTGCCACAGAGGTGGAAATTCAGCAATTAATTCAAGATATTGCTCGCTCGGAGGATTTGATCATTTACACAGACGGTTCAGTGTCAAGAGGCAAAATAAGTGCTTGGGGCTTCTTGGCAAAAGTTAATGGTCGATGTTTGGTGCAGGAGAGCCTGGCATATGATACCACAACATCCAGCTTAAGAATGGAGGTGGAGGTTGAGGCGGTCACTGCAGCTTTCCGCTGGCTAGAGAACACGACACACACACACATCGTGATTGTAACTGATTCAGAAAGCATGCTGAGGAAGATCAGAACAGGTATGCTTCGTGCAGAGTGACATGCTTCGCTGCAGAGGACACGAGTGAGGAGTATTGTCTGGATTTTTTCACCGGGTCATGCCGGTGTGTTGGAAAATGAACAGGCGGACAGACTTGTTAGCTCTGCACAACTTGGTGGAATACTGATACATGATAGGGCAGATGTGGTTAATGCCTTGTGGGAAAGTGTGTACAATTCGGAGGAGTAGATGGATCACCATAGTCTGGTGAGATTGATGCAGTTGGGGGTGACGAGAGGTTCTGGCAGAGCTCGAGGCTCAGAGGAAAGGCAAGACGGACGTTTAATCAGAAAGCTACTGGCACCATTAGTATCGGAACTCTTCGCTGGCTGCTGAAGATGGGGACGGAGCGCTTATGGAAATGCCCCGAGTGCTGTGATGTCGGTTCTTGAATCAAATCAAATCAAATAAAAATCCAGAATAAGTCGAAGTCTGCTTTCAATAACATCGATATGGGAACGAAATCTACACGTTCCACTAAATGCCTTAACCTTTCAGGGCAGTTTACTGGGTATCTTTTTGCAATGGTCGGTGTTACAGACGTGAGTATCATTGTTCCTATGATGAGGATTGTTTTCTGGCCTCTTGTGGATATCCTTTGGGATGCATACCTGGCTTTGAGGGTCCCGGATATTTCAGTAAATGTTTTCCTGGAAGCTTTGGGGACTATTGCAGCTCAACCTGCAGCAGGCACTGTCAGTCATCTGGACTCACATTCCTGGAACCTTTTCATCGAGGTGTAAGCGTGTCTACACTGGGGCCAGATGTGACACCAAATGTGCTGCTGGGGCGTTTGGTGACAATTGCTTTTTAAAAATTTTTTTTAAAGGATCCAGAAACCATCAGTTGTAAACCCTTTGGCTCGGTACTATGGATATCGCAACTCTTTGGCCTTGATTCCATTATAGGTACCATTAATCTGGAAGAAATGTGGCTTTTCTGCCTACCCCTGGAAGTGAACCCGGACCACAAGGAGTTTGTCACCCGGCCGCAACGAAAGTCAGGTTTAACCAACTACGCTAGAGAGCCGGGCTAACTGGTGAGAATTGCACTTCGTTGTGCAGTTCGAGTTGTGCGAAATTCAGCAATGCAAGCAAATCCTACGACTGGTTCCTGTAGCAATCGATGTAAGAGTGGTTTTCATGAGGACATCTGCGAAAACACATGTGGTGTTGGCAAGTTCAGTATTCACTGGAATACATAAGGATCAGAGAGGTCAGGGGCCGTAGACTTCCGATCTTACACGCAGTGGAGCGCACCAGCTGTTCTGCATTGAGAACCTGGTTTGGCCCTGTGAGTACTTGCGCCTATGGGATGTAGGCACACTGGGGTCGTATGTTTCTTGTTCAGGAAAACCCTTTTGGTCAAGACTGTTGTGCGTGACCGAAGAGGCACAAAACACAACGGATCTAGAGGAGACAACCTCGATTAAAAAAAAAAACCAAGCCTAAAGTGGATCTACGTGCTGAGAGGCTGAATGGCTACAGGATAGGCAGTCGTGAACGTGGACGTCTGGTCAGCGGGAGGGGCGGCGCCAGGCGAGTGGACTCCATAAGGACATCCATTGCCTCTTCCCTAGCAGGCAGACTCTACTAGGGTGACCTGTTACTTTCTGCTCAATAACAACTTCAGCCTATGGAATTTTCATTTTCATTTAATAAGAATTGTCGCCGAAGCTAAGGGGCACGTGATCTGAGCTTGACGTCATCTTCAGCAAGCCGTGAAGAGAGAGCGAAATGGAGAAAATGAGGAAATGGTGAGAGAAGACAGCAGAGAAACAGAAGGGCAGGAGTCAGGAGATTTAGGAGAAAATCGGAACGGCTAGGGTTCAATCATGTAAGAGTCAAGGTTTCAAGAGCTCGTAGGCCTTTTAAGTATAAGCGGACAAACACCCTTCTTGGACGTCTCCGACAGATGGCATGTAAGAGAACCGGCAGATCTACATTTGTGCAGCCTTCATGGTGGACATCAGAGGTTAAACAGGCATGGAAGTTAAAGAGAGCTGCAGTTAAGCGTTTAAAGAAAGTGCTACAGACAGCCCTATGCTCACAGGAAGAATTGGAGTGTGCAGAAAGGGATAAGAAAGATAGGATATAGTTTTTCAAGCACTGTGCGGCAGAGGCTCAAAAAAGTAAAATGGGAGCATTTCATTGGTGAGATAGGGGTTGACAAGACACTGGGAAAGTTTTGGAGGTTGCATAGGCAAATGCCCAAGAAAGATCGGCCCAAGGTAGTGGGAACAATTCATAGAGATGACGGTATGCTCTTAACCACAGACAAAAGGAATGGGGAGGCTTTCCTGGAGAGGCTTATTTCACAGACAGACCACAATGATGGAGATAACAGAGATAAAGTTAGAGTAGATCTGGCAGCCATCTTAAAGAACAAACATTATGAAGACATCATACAGGTGCAAGGTGTGAAACATGTTTTGAAAAAGGCGAAAGACACTGCACCTGGGCCTGGTGGGGTTAAATATTCCCACATGAAAGACATGAGCTATGCACACCTGGTGGAGATAACTGTTTTAATCAAAGCATTAGGACAGTTTCAGTCCTAAAAGAGTGGAAGCACAGCTACCTGATTCCATCTCCTAAGCCTGGCAAGGATCATTCAACACTCAGTGGAATTTTTGGAGCAGAGAAATCTCCTTCCATGAGGTTTAGGAAGTTACAGGCCAGGGAAGGATACAAGGTCAAATGCAGACACTTTTGCCTCTGACACCTTCGAAGGTTTCCAGAACAGACAGGAAACAGTTGCAGCGGCACTTGATTTAGAAGATGCTTACAACAGAGTCAGATATATTATTTTGATGAAGCCACTTTTAGAGAAGGGAGTCTGTCCTTGGTTTGTGAATTGGAGAGCATCTGTTGTGTATACTCGTGGGTAGCTCTCCCCCTGGGTTTATGGACCTCTGAACCATGTATTATTTATAGCTCCAGGACTACCACAGGGATCTGCAATTTCACCTGTACTTTCCAATGATTTTTACAAGCAAGACTGCAGATCTATAAACACCCGGAGTCAGCAGAATATTTACATTTGCAGATGATGTATATAGGAAGGGAAGTGGTCGTTATCAATTAGCTCAAGAATTACAGGCGACATTAGATAAGGTGACCGACTGGTGTACAAAGGTGAGTGCTTTAATTAACCTAGAAAAGGCAACCGCTCTGTGGTGTTCTTTGGACAACAGGATTGTTAGAGCTGATGTTCCAAGCCTTAAAAAAAATGGCAGGGACATCAAAAGAGACAGCAGACTGCAATTCTGAGGGAATCACCTTTGACAGAAGTTTGTCTTTCAAGGATCACATAGAGGAAGTGGTGACAAGGGCTCAAAAAGGTCTTAATGCACTAAAGATTATGGCAGCAATGGACATGGAGCAGAGAATGCTGTTCACACTTTACCAGCACTTAATCATCTCAGTAATTAATTATGGATTGGGGTTACTCACTGTCTCAAAGAGTCAGCTAGAGAAACTGAAGCACATACAAAATGAAGCTATGGGGATGATCCTGGGATGTACAAGAGACACCCCAATTGTGTGCATGCGATACATCCTTGCATTGCCGACTATTGCAGATAGACTAAAGGTGCTGCAGGCTAAGTCATACCTCAGAGTAGCTGAACACAAAGAACACCCACTTTTTGAAGCTTTGGCTGCAGGTAAGGGTCAGAGGCTGAAAAGGGGAAAATTATGGATGGCTCAAGCAGAAGACACAATAAGACAAGTATGCATGCTGCAGAACATTGTGCAAGGAGAGGAGTGGGTCAGAGTATCAGAGGACAAGTCTGACCAGTGTAGGATTATGATCACATTGGGTTGAGAGTGCAGAGAGTGGCCAACAAGTGCTATGGAGGATGAAGTCCAACAGTTGATTCATGACAAATCACGCCCATGTGATTTGATTATCTATATAGATGGTTCGGTGGTGAGAGAAAAGAGAAGTGCCTAGGGGTTCGTAGTGAAAGCCAATGGAAAATCTTTGGTGCAAGACAGCCTAGCATACGACACCACAACGTCTAGCATGAGAATGGAGGTGGAGGCGGTAACTGCAGCTCTCAGGTGGCTAGAGAACAAAGTGCATACACACGTCGTAATTGTAACAGACTCTGAAAGTATGCCTAGAAAAGCGAAGACAGGGATGCTTCGAGCAGAGTGGCAAGCTTCACTGGAAAGATCACGAGTAGTTAGCATACTTCTGATCTTTTTCCCTGGTCATGCCGACGTTGTGGGTAATGAACAGGCAGACCGACTGGCTGGATCTGCACCACTGGGTGGTGAACTGATGCATGACAGGGCAGATGTTGTCAAGGCCCTTTGGGAACAAGTGACGGAGTCAGTAGAGAAACAAGATTATTATGGCCTGGAGAGAATGAGGCACCTGAGTGTAACCAGAGGGTTTGGCCGACTTGCTAAACTCAGAGGAAAGGCGAGACGGACCTATAACCAGATTGTGACCGGTACCATCAGTATTGGAACTCTGCGCTGGTTGCTGAAGATGAGGATGGAGCACACTTGGGAATGCCCCGAGCGCTGTGATGTCAATTCTTGACAATTCTTAACTAATTAACTAACTTTTATGTATAATATGTGCATGTTGCACAGCAGCTGTATTAGTATGGTCTGTTATAATGTGTTACACCCCTGAAATTAAAAACATTTCATTACCACCCATTGGTCCCCTGATGCAAAACACCCTGGTTCCGAAGGAGTTAAACTTATATAGTTTAAATGTTTATATGTACTGCTTTACTGTTCAAAACATTCTTACCATCATTAGCTTTACAGTAGTGGTGATTTGTCAAGCTATAACCAGCAAAACATTCACATTTGTAAGAGCCCTCTGTGTTGGTGCATATTTGTGAACACAGCCCTAGGTTTGCACATTCATCAATATCTTTACATTTTGTGCTGGAACCAGAAACCAAGCTGAAACCAGGGTAACATTCACAATGTCGCCCTAATGTCATATTTGCGTTCGGAATGCATTTTTGATCACATCCACCATTATTCTTCTCACAAGTAACTGAAACACATTCAAATGTTGATTTTAATTTAAATGAAATTTTATGATCACATATCTGATAAAATTGTCTAGCTTACCTTAATGTCTCTTGTAGCTAAATGATTTCTCTATAGGCTAGAGTTGAATTTACAGACACATTTTTAACAAGAAGTTAAATTGGCCCCAAGAATCTCCAAACTCTCAAAAAAAGACAGGTGGATAAAGAAAGCAATTTTTTAGACTGGTCTTCAGAAGTCGTAAAAACTGAAGGTATCAATTAGCTGTTGATATTTATATTTAAAAAAAAAAAGTTATCAATCCACCAAACATGTTTCTTTAAAAAAAAGAACATTCCTTAAAATATTGAACATTTTGATTTTAAAATTTCAATTAAAAAAAATATTTAAAAAAACTTACTTGATACACACACAACTTTTCAATTGCACATTCAATAATAATTAGTAAGTATTTACATACTAAAAGATTCAGTGACCCCCCCCCCCCCCCCCACCCCCGGTCATCATTTTTGGACCACATTATAAGAGAAAATTTGGATCACACAAAAAAAAAAGTAAGTGTCAGTTTGAAAGTAAAATATATAAAAATGTGAAAAGAAAAAAAAACAGGCACTGAATACTGTAGTTTGCTCCTCCCCCAGTGGCAGTCAGCATTTTTTTAAACCAAATTTGGATCACAAATGGATAGGGTGAGAATATAGGAGAATATTTTGTCAATATTTTGTCACTGCACAGAATAGTATAAGCTCATGAACTGATATAGGCTGTTGGAGATTATAGAATATGTAGAAGCATGATCAAAGATGGAGGGGGAGAGCAGGAGTAAGCTGAGTTTAGAAATGACATCACAGCACTCTAGACATTCCCAAAAACATGATGTCCCATGTTCAACAACCAGCAGAGTCACATTTCCAAAGGTACCAATAACAGATTGATTACTTCAGTCAAAACATTTTCACAAGTTATTAGTACCAGATGCTTCATTTCTGATTGATTTTGACATGCTAATTTCAAATAACAAAATGCAATTCATCAGCTTGTAATTCTCTGGGGTGAACAGTTAATCCTTCTACTTTAGCATTACACAAATGATGATTAAATATTCAATTAAATAATTTTTCAACATAAAATAATAAAAAACATGAAAACATTATTTAAAGTTCACATATAATGTTTTATAAAAGTATATTTGAATATATTTAATCATTATTCAGTCACTTTTCAAGCTCTCTTTGCTTGCTTCTTGTAGTCAGTTGATGAGGTGTCTCTTGTCACAGTCCAATAGTAATCAGCAAGCATCAAAGGGCATCAACTACCTTGATACCTTGTCTCCATGGCAGCAATGTCCTGATAAAATAATGTGCTATGCTCATCTCTGACAGTTCCACAGTTTGATGTAAAGAACTCCAGAAAATAAATTTTCAAAGGCATGTTGCAGCAAAAACTTCAGAAGGAGATTTTCTACAATTTTATTGTAATTGGATTATGATAAGTTGTTTGCAAGGAAATTGTCCACCAATGACTTAAATACTTGCCATGCTGATTTTTCCTTGCCATTAATATTACTGCTTTTCGTCCTTCTTAGGACGTTATTTTTTGTTATCTCCCCACTCTGGCTTTTGCCAGGGGCCGCAATATAGGCAGGTCATCATTATGGCCAAATGTCTGAACGCGGTTTCTGGGACCTCTCCACGGTGATCCTCATCCGCATGGTGGCACTTTGTGTCATCGGGTGTTTATCGCTTGTGTGATGTCCTGGTGGGGTAAAAAATCCAATCCAATCCAATCCTTGCCATATGATGTTGTGTCGTCCGCATGTGGGATGTAATTTTTAGTTACTTTGAAGTCCCACCCTGGCTTTTGCCAGGGGCCCTAAAAATAGCTGGGCCTTTAAAGTGGCCTAACGGCTGAATGGGGTTTCCGGGACCTCTCCACGGGTGATCTTCATCCTCGTGGTGGCACTTTGTGTCACCGGGTGTTTATCGCTTGTCTGATGTCTTGGTGGGGTAAAATTTACCTACCTTACCTTTTCCTTGTCAAGCAACATGCAAAGAAACTCGTCTCAAAAAAAAAAGTTTCTAAATCTGTGAACCAAACAAATAAATACCCCCCTCTCTTGATTTAGCTTTACTCAGTCTTGGAAATGTTCTCAGGAAATATCTGAAAGTCTCATTTGTTTTCTCCACTGCCCTGACAACTTTTTTTCATGAAAAGCTTAATGTGCAAGAGAGGCAACAAAATCTTGCTAGTGTCAACAAGTGTTGGGTTCTCAGTGCTCTTGCTTCCTATCAGGCTGCAAAGACTGCCTGACTGGCCAAAGTATTCTGTTTTCTGGATATTCCAGAATCCATTTTTCTGTTATATATAAAAGTCACTTCACTTTACAAATAACAGAAATTATTAGAACTTTTCACATGTTTTACACATTTCTGACAATACTACTTTTGATAAGGATCAATGCACTAAATTTTAACAGATATATTTCTACATAAAGGTGATATAATCATAGGTAGGATTACATCTTCTTCAGTATTAGATTTGTACTTCCTTCCAATGCAACCTAATCTTTCGTATATCCACATCACTAGGGTTCATGACTTTCTAATTTTCTCTTCATTATCCTAACCTTTCCAGGTGCAAATTCTAAAGATTATCCTAGGTGAAAGGAGGTAAGTCAGTGTTCCAGACTCTTTATGACTTTCTCTGTGATGTAACATATTTTTTAAGTAGAAGAACCTCTTCTTTTTTAAGCTGGCTGAGTTACTTTCCTTTCTGCTTGTCTTTTTTCCTCTCTTCCATATTACCTCCTCATTTTACATCCTTTATTACAGATGACATCCTCTAAAGGCATCAGTGAAAAAGCATCAAGTTTTGCTTCCAGGATCATTGTAAACAAACTGAATGTCCAAACAAAAGCATGTACGAGGAATGTTCAAGAAAGTAATGCCTCCTAATTTTTAAATGCGTTCAATAGGTGAGAAAACCGATAAAATTCATTCCGAAATGTAGCCCCTAGTCTGAACTTCAAAAACTTATTTCCCAATTAAGTCTTCATAATTTATTAGAGTTTTTATCCATCTTTTCACAAGGGCATACATCCCTCACGGTAAAAATATGTTTTCTTATTCCTAACCCACTGGCATATGAAGCGTTTAGAGGTCTCTGTGTTTTTTATAGTGATATCTGCGAAGATCCTCTTTCATTGGTTCAAACAAATTGAATCATGAAGATGCAAGATCGAGATTGTAACCAGGAAATGGTAATAATGTGCAGCCAAAATCTGCAATCATTTCAATGGTGCGATTAGCGGTGTGTTGCATGGAATTATCGGACAACAGTTCTCTGATATTTTAATGGGCAAAGTCGCCGAAGACCAACTCTAAGCTTCTTCAAAGTTTCAATGTAATGGTCGGCATTCACTGTGTGTCCCTGAAAAATCATACCCTTGTTGGTCCAAAACAAAGAGGCCATAACTTTCCCTACATATGGTGAACCTTTGAACTTTTTTTTAGGCAATGTTGTGTGATGCTATTCCACTGATTGTCTCTTCCATCCTGGTTTAAAAAAAAAATGTACCCAAGTCTGATCACCTGTAACAATATTTGATAAAAACTCTTCTCCTTCAATTTCGTAATAGTGCAGGAGCTTGATGGCTATGCTTTTCCTTGTTTCTTTATGTCTGCCTATAACATTCTGGGTACCAAATGTGCACAGACCTTTGAATAAGGAATTTATGATGGTCTGGACACTGCCCTTCCTTACAGTCCATCCAGTGATACCCAATGGTCAGCACGTATGTCAACTGGATGTGTGCTGTTTAGAGTAACTTGAATACACGAACGGCCAGTCTGCTTTGTGTCAGCCATTGAGGATTGACCTACTACAGCTTCAGCACAGCAATGTACTTAGTGTTGGACATCCACTGCTTAAACTCTATAAACGTTTTCAAACATTGGGGTCTCGCCTTCAGCATTGAGGAATTCTAAGGTAACAGGTTCAATAAAATCCGACCACAGTTACTTGCTATCTGTATGGACACTCTAGCACATGGGTCCGACCCATTGGTGTTGCATTCTCTGATGCAGCAGACATCTCAGTGTCTACCAGATCACTGTATGTGCTGGAGTTGACTGCTAAAGACTTTGATAATTGGAAATGATTATGGAATTAGGTCCATACTTTCATGGTCAAATGACATCTGATAAGTGTTGCCAGTATAATACAGGCCACACTACTTCCTAAAAATTTTTATGGTACCAATTTTATATGTAAAAAGATCATGTAATCACATGGTCAAGGAAAAAAGGCTAGCAAGTGATTTCAAAGCAGAATAACCTGGACAACAAACAATCCACTTAACAATTACATAAAACTGAACCATATAAAACTAGCCATTAGTAACAGAGTTACTTACAGTTATTTCCAGAAAGGCAGTGAAGACCAAATGATTCATCAGCACCATTGCCACAATCATCAAAGCCATCACAAATCTTCTCATCAGAAATACATTTATCGCCACAATTAAACTCATGATCCACACAGTGTTTCCCTAACTCTGTTGTGAACAAATGTCACTAGTTATTGCACAAGTACAGTGTGGCAAGTAAGTCAAAAGGGCACTAATGTTACAGTTATAGGTTACGTACAGAAAATGGACTTCAAGAGAGTTCAAACAGCTTACATCTTGTCACTTGTAAGACGTTTTAAAATACTCAACTATTTTACTCATTTCCTTGTTAAAAAAATAATGAAATTTGTCTACCAAGACTAAGCATTAATGTAAATCAACAACTGTATTATCTGTAGCCACTTCACTTTCCCCTACATCCCTCCCCTGCCTGCTCTTATACAAATCAATTTTCTTTTACTAAATCACTCTAAACAAAACTTGTGAATTCAAGGTAATAAATAGTATCAGGTCTTCAACATCAGATGCGCAAGTAAAAACTGCAATTCAAAGCAAAATGATCATATTCCATTAAAAAGTTGCCATCAAGAAGGTTCAGATTTGTCATCTCTGCGAGAAGCTGACATGTCCTAAATAACTGCTTTTCTGCTGATATTCTGAAAAAGGCGAGTGCTTGCAGACAACTTATCATAAACATCAGAAAAAGAATGGAGCATGTTGTAACCACCGGAAAAATCAATGGAAAGAGAGACAGACGAAGACAATGCGAGAAGATTCTTAATGGCCTTGCATCATGGCATGGAGGGGTGTCAACAAACGAACTGATACACACAGCTGCAGATCACCCAAGCTAGTCTGCAAAGCACTTGAAGATGATGACTGTTGTTTATTGGACATGATCATATTATTATCTGTTTTACCCATATGGGTTCTGGGGCCCCATTTGTAGGAATACAAGAATAGACCCACTAACAAGCAGATCATGCAAGACGATGACTATCACGAGTGTTTCTTTTGAAGACGGGATGCATCTGCCTGAGAAGCGAGGAACCAGCCATCTGCGTACAAAAAAGTCTCATCTTTAAAAAGCAAAATTCAAATTCTAGATCAAGACTAAATTCCAGAAATGGACGAACAACCAGAACTTTCTACCAGAGTTCACAGCCAGTGAGCAAAAACATGGAAATTATCTGTTTTAGTCCTTGTCATTCTGTTTCAATATTTAGTTTGTACATTTTTGTTTGGCAATTGTCATTTCCTAATGCCAGTGTGATATAGTCATGTGTAATAGTTTTTATGAAATTTTCTTTTAAAATACATTTTAAAACCTTGTTAAAGCTTATCTATTGTTCAGTTGCAATTTGATCATTCAACACCATCATTCTCTCTGCTTTTGATGAGGGGTTCCAGAACAGACAGGAGATGGCAGTGGCAGTATTTGATCTTGAGTATGCCTACAACAGAATCAGATGTGATATTTTGATATCTGCACTCACAAAGAAGGGGGTTTGTTCTTAGCTGGTGAATTGTACAGCAGCTGCCCTCCAATCACATATGGGTGGCTTTCGTCTGGGTACATGGACTCAGAACATGGACTACCAAAGGGTTCTGCAATTTCACCAGTGCTCTTCAATATGTATACAAGCAAGATTGCAGACTTAAAGCACTAGATGTTGGAAGGATATTGACATTTGCAGGTGATGTTCTTGCATATAGGCAGGAGAATGATAAGCAACAGACAGTACAAGAGCTACAGGCAACTCTGCAGACAATGTGACTGACTTGTGTGAAGACAATGTGACTGACTAGTGTGCAGAGATGGGTGCTGTTCGTTAACTCAGAAAAGGTGGTTTTAGGGGGCTCTCTGGACAGTATTGTAAGAGCCAAAGTTCCAAGCCTCACAGTTAATGACAAAAATATCAAAAGAGAAAGTATACTGAGGTGTCCTGCTGTAATTTTCAATAAAAGCCTGTCTTTCATGGATCATGTGGAAGCAGAAAGGACTCAATGCTCTTAAGATTATGGCAGTAACAAACATGGAACAAAGAATGCTGTTCACAGTGTTAAAAAATGTGATCCTGTCAGATCACTTTACCAGCACTTAATCATCTCAGTTGCCCGTGTGTCACCGGGGCCCTCACAGGAAGCAAAGAATAGTAACACTGCACCCTACCAGGCATGTCGTAAGAGGTGACTAAGGGTAGGGTTGAGCTTGAGGTTGGCTACCTCATCCTGTAAAAACAATAGCCAAAAAAACCAACCAACCATGGATAAGTCAATAAGAGAAGTGAGTAAAAGCTAGCCAACCAAAATGAGGGGAGACACTTCAAGTAGAAGAAGTATGACACAGTACGGAGAAAGCCGAAAGGAGTCCGGATTGTTGACGTATCTCCTCTCATCTAGGAAAACCTCCAGAACTGGCACGTGGAATGTTAGAACTCTCTATGATATAGGGAGAACAATGGAAGTAGCAAGGGAAATGAAACATTATAGAATTAGTATTTTAGGGTTAAATGAAACTAGATGGACTGGGGCGGGGAAAAGTATTCTAAATTCAGAGAAAACTATTTTGTTCTCAGGACACACAGAGGAAAATTCGCCCCACAGAGAAGGAGTGGCCCTGATGCTATCAAAAGAAGCAGACAGGACACTAATAGAATGGGAGGCTGTCAGTCCCAAAATAATAAGAACATCTTTTAGAACAGCGAAACAGAAGGTGAACATACAGTGTTATGCATCAAAAAAAGATACAGATTAATTAGTTAAGGAAGAATTTTACATGCAGCTTCCAAATATTATAAACAATGAAAGAAAGGGCAACATAAAAATGTTCATTGGTGATTTGAAGGCTAAGATAGGATCAGATAACACAGGTTATGAAGAGATAATGGGCAGACATGGTCTTGGAGTAACAAATGAAAATGGAGAAATATTCACACATTTTTGTGCAAGAAACCAGTATGCTATTGATGGAAGTATTTTTTTCCATAAATGTTGAATGTTGAATTAAGAATCTACATCACAGCACTCAGGACACCCCCATAAACGCTATGTCCCTATCTTCAGCAGCAAGTAAAGAGTTAAAATTCTGATGGTACTAATTACTGTATGATTGTATCTCCGTCTCTCCTTTCCCCTGAGTGTTGCACGTAGGCCAGATCCCCTTGTAACTCCTCACAGTGCCATTCTCCTCAGACCGCGATGATCTATCTGTTCCTCTGCACTGTTCACTCACTCCCAAAGGGCCCTCACAACATCCAGCTTGTCATACATCAGTTCACCACCAAGTGGTGCAGAACCAGCCAGTCTATCTGCCTGCTCATTTCCCAACACACTGGCATGACCTGGAGAAAATATCCAAAGGATGCTAACTACTCGGGACCTCTGAAGTGGTGTTTACCACTCTGCACTCTGCACGGAGCATGCCTGTCTCCATCTTTCTCAGAATGCTTTGTGAGTTAGTTACAATGATGACATGTGTTTACAGATGATTCTTAAGCCAGCGGAAGCAGCAATGACTGCCTCCACCTCCATTCTCAAAATAGACGTTATGATATCATATGCCAGGCTTTGTTGCACCAGGTGACATCCATTCACCTTCGCTATAAACCCCCATGAACTTCGTTTGCCCCTCAACACAGAGCCATCAATATATATACAATCACATCAATCGGGCGGGAATTGTCATGAAAATCTTTAGTGCAAGACAGCCTAGCAAATGACAAAACAACATCTAGCATGAGAATGGAGGTGCAGGTTGTAACTGTTGGTCCTCAATGGCTAGAGAACAAGATGTATACACAAGTCGTAATTTTTAAAGACTCTGAAAGCATACTGAGAAAGGTGAAGACAGGGATGCTTTGAGCAGAGTGGCAAGCTTCACTTGGATGGTCACGGGTAGTGAGCATACTTTGAATCTTTTCTCTAGGCATGGTGGGTAATGAACAGACAGACAGATTGGCTGGATCTGCACCACTAGGTGATGAAAGGATACATGACAAGGCAGATGTGTTCAAGGCCCTTTGGGAACAATCAATGGAATCAGTAGAGAAACAAGATTATTATGGCCTTGAGAGAATGAGGCACCTGGGTGTAATCAGAGGGTCTGGCCAGCTCACTACACTCAGAGGAAAGACAAGACGGGCATATAACCAGATTGTGTCCAGTACGATTAGTATTGGAACTCTGCCAACTCTGGTGAATATGAGGACGGAGCATGCATAGGAATGCCCTGAGTGCAGTGATGTCAACTCAACTCATCCTGTCAGTGATAGATTATGGACTTGGAAGGCTTACCATATCAAAGAGTCAGCTGATGAAACTTGAATGCATACAGAATGAAGCCACGAGGGATACAAGAGATACCCGGGTAGTATGTATGAAATAGATATACTTGCACTTCCTAACACTGCACACAGGTTCAAAGATTTGTAAGCGAAGTCATTTCTCAGAGTAGCTGCAGACAAGAAGCACCTTCTGCATGAAGCCCTAGGTAAAGCTAAGGGTAACAGACTGAAAAAAAAGGAAGTTCTTGGATCATGCAGGCTGAAAACACAATTAGACATGTGTGCAGGCTTGATAAATTTTGGTGAGGAGAGGAGTAAGTTAAAGTGTTCCTGCAAGAATAAGAGTGTGGGGTTCTAATCACTTTAGGCCATGAGTGCAGGGACTGGTGATGCAGAAGTTTAACAAATGATTCATGACAACTTCCGTACAGATGATGTGGTTATCTATACAGATGGCTCAGTGTTGAGAGGCAGACAAAGTGCTTGGGGTTCATAGCAAAAGCGAATGGATGTCGCTTAGTGGAAAAAAGTCTGGCACATGATATCACAACGCCTAGCTTGAGAATTGAGTTGAAGGCAGTCACTGCTGCTTTCTGCTGGCTCGAGAATCGGCTGTATGCAGATGTCGAAATGTTTACTGACTCACAGAGCATGCTGAGAAAGGTAGAGACAGGCATGCTATGTGCAGAGTGGCAAATATGGCTTCAGTGGCCTCCAGGTTATGCAGGTGTTCTGGAAAGCAAGCAGGCAGATAGACTGGCTGGTTCTGCACCACTTGGTGGTGAACTGATGTATGACAAGGTAGATGTTGAGAGGGCCCTTTTGGAGTAAGTGAATAGTGTGGAGGTACAAACAGATCATTATGGTCTGAGGAGAATGGTACTGTAAGGAGTAACCAGGGGATCTGTGGTCGGCGCTCAACACTCAAGGGAAAGGTGAGATGGACATACAACCAGGCAGTTACTGGTACCATCAGAATATGAACTCTTCGCATGCTGCTTATTATGGGGAAGGAGCATTTGTGGGAGTTTCCAGAGTGCTGTAATGTCAATTCTTAAGTCAACACTTAATTTTCACTATCTTAATTCAACATTCAACGTGATTCTGTTTCTGATGGGCTATTTATAGTCAAACAGGGCATACAGATGCTTTCTCCAGTCTGTTCCATTATGTGCAAATCTGTCAATATCATGTATGAGATCCAGTACAGCATCTTGACCTCTTTCTCATCAACATTTTTTTACAGTTTCTATTGGATGATTTTGCTTCCTTAATCCATTTAATTACCATTTCAAAACCCATATTGTGATTCTTTGTCCCAGAATGTGTGAAGTAAACAATCATCTTTCTTTTGCAATTGTTAAGATCAGCGGTTGTGCAGACATTTCTGTAATTTACTGTTTACTTTTGACATTATCCCGATTACTATTCATAAATTTTCCCAGCACTTATTTTAGACTGTTCATCAACTTTCACTGGCATAGGTTAGAATTCAAATAGCACTGGAAATGAAAATATGTAACTTTGTTTCAAAACTAGAACATTAAAGTTGTATATTTTGTTGAGGCATTTAAAAGCTGCTGTTGCTATGTCAATGTGTATCATTTTATCTTTGTATTTCATTTGCAATCAAAATTGCTATTTAAGTAGGAAAAGCAGTCTGTATCTTTTATTATCACTGTCTCAAGCATGGCATTTGTTTGATCTGTTTCTGATGTTATCATTATACTTGTCTACATCATAACTAATTTGTAGCTTGACTCTGATGCTATATTCGATCAATTATATATTTTTTATTGCATGGCTCTGCCATTTTAACCTAACAGAACAAATTATCTGCAAAATCATTTCCTGGAAATGTGTATCTGATTATGACTAAATCCTTATGTGTATCTGATTATGACTAAATCCTTATGTGTATCTGATTATGACTAAATCCTTATGTGTATCTGATTATGACTAAATCCTTATGTGTATCTGATTATGACTAAATCCTTATGAAAGATAAAATAAAATTTCAAAGGCAAGCAATAAAAATGTATTAATTATTTGAAAACAAAAAATAGTATATGTGTACCCACCTATGTTGGCACAGTTATTTTCATCCTCACCATCATCACAGTCAACTTCTCCATCACAGAAAAACTGTACCTTTACACACAAATATTGATCACACATTTTTTCTTCTGTCCCACATGTATAACCTCCACCTAAAATAGAAGATACAATTGTCCAAACAGATGGAGGTAGAACTGGAAAAAAAATCACAACAGAAAGTAACTGCAAATAAAAATTCACCTGGACATTTAAAAAACAAACAAAATAATACTTAAAAACAACACCATCATTATCACGTGCCATGCCAAATATTGTGGAGAATCACTGTCAGCCTTCCCACATACATTTCAGTCTTGGATTAAGTCCTGAGTATGCCATGTGTTCAATTCGGCAGGGATTTCTACCTTCGTCTTCTTCTTTCACTCTCCCCATTATAAGTCTGCTAGTAATCATACGGGTTTAAACTTTATTTCTTCTCAAATATTCCAAGAAAAAAGATTTTACTGTCAGCACTTAACTCACGGTCCGTAGCTAAATTCACCAGCTTTTTTTCCAAAAGCTTTCAATGGCTGTTTTCACAGTATTTTTGACTTGTTCAAGAGTGTATTGAGCATATGCAGTACTTTATTTGTGCTCATTCATGTGGGTATATACCTTGACTCCCAGCTTGACCCAACCTTGAGTGGGTACCAGGTGCAGCGGAAGTAAATGCGGCTGGCATGATGGCATGATGCTGACCACATCACCCACCAAGTGCCGACTGGTCTATAAAAACACAGATCTAGCGCTATATGCCTAAAGGCGTGGAAAAGGGACCCTTACTTGTACTGACACGTGGGTATATGTGCACAGATATTGTATTTTTACATCTTTTCTTGACTTAGTGGCAAAGGAGAGCAAATTAAAGTCATGTCTGCTCTAGACCTGGTAAGTGAAGGAGAGAGAGCCACACAGACGGAGAGGGAGGAAGACAGAAGCTGAGGGAGAGTGGATGAGACAGTGTAAAAGTCAAAGAGTGAGACAGACAGAATAGGAGAAAAAGGGACATACCTGTAGAGAGATGGACAGATGAAGAGGGGAAACAAGGAAAAGAAAGACAAAGGGAAGGGGGGAAAAGGATGGCAGTCACAGGCAGAGACTAATGGAGGAAGACAGAGAGAGAATGGCCAGGCAGATAGGAGATACAAGCAGAGAGAGAAATGTAGACAAAAAAGAGAGAGAAGCAGATATGGCAGTATAGAGATATAGGGAGAGAAACAAACAGGTTTAGGGAACAAGGCAGAGCAAGAGAATGGGGCAAGAGAGACAGAGAGGGAAAAGAGGAACAGACAGGTAGAGAGACAAGCAGATGAACAGATAGGGAGAATGAAAAGAGAGACATAGGGAAGACGGAAAAAAGATGACAAAATGAGAGATGGAGGCAGGGAGACAGAGGGAGAGAGAAGGGACAGGCAGAGAAGGAGATGCAAGCAGAGAGTTAGAGATAAAAAAGGGGAGAGACAGAGATGGCAGTATAGAGAGGCAGACAGACAGAGAGAGAAACAGAGAAAGGCAAGACTAAAAGAAGGGAGGGAGGTAAACAAACAGAGAGAAAAAGTAGAAGGCAGTCTCAGACAGACAAATAAAGAGGGTGGCAGGGTAGGGAGATAGACAGAAAGTACAAATATGATCACTGCCAGCTTAAATGCTGAATGCCAGGGGCGCTAACAAATAACCCATGCATGACTGTCAGTGTGTGGCTGCAAACAGGTCAATTTCTAAAGTCTGCCCTTTTCCCGCCCTTCCTCCAATGCATACCATCCACACCCAATAAATGGATGGTTACAGAGAAAGGCATAGAGAGAGAGATGGAGAAAGTGACTATATGTATATGATACAAAACTGTAAACACAGGCAGTGCTTGCTGAAGCAAACTCACCTCAACCCCAATCCCATACACAAGATTCTTTATGTACCTGACAAAATGAATATTGTGCAAAAACAACTTCATCAAACTATCAGACAGTCAGATAGAAGCTCCTTAAAAGCCTTTTCTCCACTAGACCTGGTACTTGAAGAGGGAGAGAGACACTGATGAGGAAGGAAGGGAGGAACATGCTGTGAGAGAGAGAAAGAACAAAACAGAAGTAAATAAGAGGGACAAGTAGATAAAGAAAGGGTGAAGAATGGAAAGAGAGACAGAGAGGGGGAGCAGAAAAAAGATAACACAAAGAGAGATGGAAGGAGAGAGAGAGAGAAGGGACAGGCAGAGAGGGAGATGTAAGTAGAGAGTAACATAGAAAGGGCAGTACAGAGGGAGAGAAGCAAACAGACAAAGAAAAAAGGCTAAAAAACAGAACAGGAGACAGACAGACAGACAGAAAGACAGATAGACAGACAGATAGACAGACAAACAGAGAGAGATGGATGGATGGATGGATGGATGGATGGATGGATGGATGGATGGATGGATGGATGGATGGATGGATGGATGGATGGATGGATGGATGGATGGATGGATGGATGGATAGATAGATAGATAGATAGATAGATAGATAGATAGATAGATAGATAGATAGATAGATAGATAGATAGATAGATAGATAGATAGATAGATAGATAGATAGATAGATAGATAGATAGATAGATAGATAGATAGATAGTTAGATAGACAGACAGACAGACAGACAGACAGACAGACAGACAGACAGACAGACAGACAGACAGACAGACAGACAGACAGACAGACAGACAGACAGACAGACAGATAGATAGATAGATAGATAGATAGATAGATAGATAGATAGATAGATAGATAGATAGATAGATAGATAGACAGACAGATAGATAGATAGATAGATAGACAGAAGTAGTGGAGTGGAAGAGAAGCAAACAGACACAAAGACAGAGAGGCAGTGACAGAAATAAAGAGAAAGGGAGAGGGGGGGGGGGGTGTAAAAAAAACATGGAAAGGAAGAAAAAAGAGAGGAGAGTGTAAGGAAAGATATAGACAAGAAGAGGAAGACAGTAAAGGAGAGTGTAAGGAAAGAAGAGGTAGACAGTAGAGGAGATGGAGAGAGAAAGGAGACAGGAAGAGGAAAGGGTACAAAAGGCAGAAGAGTAAAAGACGGAAGGAGACTAATGTGAGAGGAAGAAAAGAGGGAAGATGGGGGGGGGGGTTGTAACACTGATTGCCAAACGCATTGCAAAGATAAGCCGGGAGACAAAAATTGAATTTGGAAATCCAGCAGACATAAGTTTGCTAGGCTCTGCTCTCCCAATGTCATCCTGCCAGAAACAATCCCATGCTTTTCGTGCAACTAGAGATGCCGAGGTGCAGATGCGCAAGGCTGAGATAAAGGCGGCTGAACCTTCTTTCAAAAAGTACCAGGGCCTAATAAAATTTTTTACACAAGGTGATTCCATATCTGCTTGGACACAAAATTTTGAATGTATGGTTAATCACTATGAGGTCCCTTTTAAAGAGTGGTCACTAATTTACCGAAAACATTTAGGGGGTGAACCTTTGAAATTACTAGAGACAATCCCTACTGAAAAACTTGAGGATTATTACTTTGTCAGGGATAGAATTCTCCAACATTTCTCCCTAGATGAGGAATCTTACAGAAATTCCTTTAAAAATTTGATTCCGAAAGCTGAACAGACATTTCTGGATTACATGTCTGAGGTGGTATCCACTTTTGACAAGTGGGTAACATCGGCGAAAGTGAACAAATCTTACGATTTGTTAAAAGATCTATTGATAAGAGACAAGGTGTTGTCAAGTGTCCCGAGCAGCATGAAGACGTTTTTGATTGAGCAAAAACCAGAAACAGTAAAGCAGATGGAAGATGCAGGTGCTGCATACTGGAATGCACACAGAAACATTTTTAGTTTCAATAAGGGTGCAGACATCAGCTACGGAGCTGCAGTACAACAGAAAAAAACAATATACTCACGAGAAGAAAGGAGAACACTCGAGAGAGTACAAGAGTTACAGACCTCTTAGAGATAGAGGACCAATAGTAACATGCCTGTACTGTAAGAGAGATCATGGTCAACGACAGTGGTGTGAGCAGAACCCAAAGTATGAAGATCATTTTCGTAAGAGAGAGAAAGCAATGCAGGAGAAAAATACAGTTAAATACTGGCTCGAGTGTCGACTATGTGACTCCATCGATCACTTACAAAAAGATTGCAAGATGAGAAGAAGACAACATCAGAGTGCGGCTGCAGAAATATCTGACAGTGGCAGTGATTCTGAAAGCAGGTTATCTGATGGGAGTATGGCAGATGTACCTACAGCAAATGCAGCTGAGCTGGCAAATTTCTCTGATACATGTTGCCAGATCTGTAGAGATTTTAATGAGGATGGTAATCTAACCTGTGGTCACAGCGTGATAGGAGAGGCTAATACTGTAACCAGTTTCGATGGCCAGGTGAAACTTACGAAAGGGTTGGTTAACGGCAAAGTAGCGACAATCCTGCGAGATTCTGGTACCACCGTATTGGGTATAAGAGAAAGTCTGGTGGATAAATGTGATTTGACAGGGGAACATATTATGTGTCGAACCTTTTCAGGAGCGAAAGAAAAATATAAATTGGCATGGGCAGATATAAAATCGGCTTACTGCACAGGTAGAACAAAATTTGCAGTGCTAGAAGACCCTATTGCTGATGTCATTCTGGGAAATTGTAGTAATGTGAAGGAGGTATCAAAAAGTGATATCTCAAAATGGCAGTATGAAAATATAGCCTGTAGTGGTGAGCCAAAAGAGCAGCATGTCAGTGCGAATGAATTCAGTGGTGAGTCAAAAGAGCAGTATGTCAGTGCGAATGAATTCAGTGGTGAGTCAAAAGAGCAGCATGTCAGTGCGAATGAATGCAGTGGTGAGTCAAATTGAGTGCGAATGAATTCAGCGAGACAAAAGAGTGTTTGCCAAATGCATTTTTCGAAATGACAACGTGGCCTACTGATGAATCAATGCTGTCAGATGACGAGACAATATCACACGAAAGATTAATGGCAGCATACAACACTGAGACACACAGGGAAAGCAGTAAAGGTATCATAAACGGAAAACCAGGTTCAGTGATAACAACATCTGACACATCTTTTTCACTTATTAGAAAGTCCATATTGGAAAAGACAGATTACACAGGGGAAACAATA